TGAGACAGGTATAAAATAAAGTGCAATTGTCCAGTGATAAGAATAAAAACAGACTTCTAATGTATCTATATCTATTTTTTCTCATTATACGCATATATTGCACGTCTCTTGTAATATTATTACAGTGTTACACATGCATATATACATATGTAATACAGGGATACGCATAGACACGCGTGTATGCTTCAAATAGACGCGATATATATGATACATATGTATGTGTGTGTACATACATACATACATACATACATACATACATACATACATACATACATACATACATACATACATACATACATACATACATACATACATACATACATACAGTATATATCGTATATATATATATATATCGTATCATGATCGCAAAAGTGGAGTGAGGTAGAGGCCACCCACTCTTTCCCACAGCAGGTTTTTCCCACGCCCCCCTGGATAACCCCAACATCCTTTTGCGGCAGCAATTCCGTGGGGCGCCGCTACATGGGGGGGGGGGGGGGGGGAAGGGGAATGGATGGAAACGACGGGAGAGAAGCGGCGCGCGTCAGGTGGAGGGAGGTAAGCAGAGCTGAAGGCGCTCGGGTCGACCGGGCCATTATACAAACAATAGAATCTGCAGCATCAGTGATATATCTGCGTGGCTGCCATGTGTATGTCGTAGGCCATTTGAAAAAAGAGAGTGTCATCCTGATTAATGAGAGAGAGAGAGAGAGAGAGAGAGAGAGAGAGAGAGAGAGAGAGAGAGAGAGAGTGTGTACATCATCAAATCGAGAAACTATGATTTAGAAAGCGATGTCGGGCTATACAATTAGGGCTCGTATAATTACGAATTTCGTTCACATCTAATTTTGTTCACATCCGCTCGATGGCTCGCCGATTTAATATTTGATACAATTCGATTTGTCGCGCGCGAAATAAAGATGAGCCCTTTCGAAATTGTCGCGCGGTTGAAATTTTAAACGTCGAAATTTTAAAGCGATGTTCGCGCGCAAATTTCATACATCAGAGTAAACATTGCCGCATAACGTCCGACAACTCGGTCGCTTGCACACCACTGCATCACGGTGCATTTGTTTTCAATTTGCCGAGAGCACGAAGCTCCCCTTCTCCTTTGCCCGCCACGTTCATGATACAACCACTTACGTCGCTGTTGGCGACCTCCGAACACTTCCAACTTCCAAGTTAGTTATCCGTCTGCAGTCGCGGGTTGAGGGTGATTTGAACGCGTCGCGTTAGCCGATTTCATTCGCCTCTTGTACACATTACTTTGCACTATTATATATATAAAAGGAGAAGACACTCCGATTCGAATTTCAATAATTATAATTTAAGTTACGCGCGTAATTCAAGTTATCACACGCATCGCGCTACAGACGCTGCCGTCGTGTTTTGTTCAACCGCGGTTGGTAGGACTGTTCGGAAAATTCGGAAAGTGAACAGGTGTTTTTTGAATGGATTAGGGTGGGAGGGGGAGAGGGAGGGAGGGAGGGCGAGAACGCGGAAGGAAGGATTCGCCGCGGCCGCGCCGTGGTGAACAGCAGTGGTGAAGAATCGCCAATCGCCGCAAATCACCGGGACTTGGCAGCCCGAGTCGCTCCGGATGATCGATAACACGCGGAGGATGCATGCGGGTACGCGGCTGTTCTCGACGCCCTGCCAAGAATGAAGAGGTGAGTCGAGCCGGACAAAAATTTCATCTGTTTGTCAAATCGTAATCGTAACCTCGCTCGCGTCGAAAGGTAAATAAACAAAATACCTGGCTTCCTCGCACATGTCACAGTTCGATCGTGTTCCCTCGCGGCCATCAATCGATCCTGCTTTCATAACCCTTCAGCCACGATATCGCCTGACAGTCCTGACAGTCCTGACAATCCTGACAATCCTGACATCACCGAGCTGAGGGAATGGTTAGGACGTTGTCTTGTGTCTTCTCTCGCGATCGGAATGTTCGGAATGTCCAAAAGACGCCACCTCTTATTTTCTCTTTCCTTCGGCAACCACTGAAAAGTGCTTCTTGCTTCACATTTTTTTTCATTATCTAGACTCTCTTCCACTTTGCACGCGAAAGAGCCTACTACATTACTACACGCAGTCCGCATGAATAGAAAATAGAGCACAGTGTCACATTTTTCGTTGCATTTCGTGTGCATTTTGGCGGTGCAATTACTAATCCGATATATACATATGTATATATATATATATATCGTAACATGAAGGATTACGTGAGGTGAGTCACATTTTATTATACTCTACTATTTATATCGTGCAATGTAACATTGGATTCAATTTTTCTTGCTGAATAATACATTTGCATCTCTATTCTTTTAGTGTTTAATCAGACACGATTGTAGACTCTTCTTGAATTACATCATTAGATAAATTCTATGATTTTCATTACGATTACTTTAATTAAACGAGATAATACTCGATAGATACTTTTCTCTTTCGCACTTTCATAGCATGATCATAGCTCGCGTCCAATTTGCAATACTAATTTATTAACTTTTGCTACTTTATTATTCTATTCTGTCCAACATTGTATATTGTGCACACTATAGATCATAACATTAGCAGGATATTGATAAGTGGATATAGCAACAACAGTTATTATATAATTTGTGAGAAACTATATATATGTATATGATATCATATGAACAATGTCACTGTACCGTACTATTACATTCTGATCCATATTCTCAATGAGAAATTATTTCTGTTGGTCAAAACCAAAAATGATTATTAGCTCCTGTAGATTAGAATTGTGTATTGTGGAGTATAATCCAATGTCAAACAAGTCCATATGACTGAATTCATCTAGAAGGAGACATAAATGATTATAATAGTTTAATATAAATTAACTTTAATTTTGATTCAACTCACTCTTTATTTTAATTGTTCCAATTCGTAGAATTCTTCTATGAATTAGAAAGAGTTGAAGAGTCAATTGAATTGAGATTAAAGTTAATCTACGTTGGACGTAGAAACAGATACACAAGTGTTTCTCAAAGAGTAGTATATATAAACATGTATATGATGATTCCCATTCAAATAGCAAACTTGTAAAAAGCATGAATGTATGTACAGAGATTTTAATGAAAAGTTTATTTTTAAAGAAGACAGAAAAGAAGGGGTTTAAAAAAGAAATAGTATAATAATCCATAAGGTAGGTGATTAATAAAATTGTAAAAAAATCTTTTGTCTACAACTCGTATACTTGATTCATAGCGTCAGTTGATTTCGTGTAATTAATCTAACTTTTGTATAACGAGGTAAAAATTATGCTATTAATTGTGATGTGTACGGTTTTTTTTCCCAGTGTATAAACATAAACTCTACCTGTATAGTCACAATGGATAGAAGCGCTTTTAATTCATGCAGGAAAAATGAGTCCGGCTTGGTTCTCACGACGTGCGTGCATGTACGTTTATATACGTTGTTTCCTCTTTCCTGTGCCAAGACCAGCAATTCTTGATAGCTCGTTTGAAGAAAGATATCTCGAGTTAATTACGTCCCCAGTAAAAAGCAAAAATCTTTCTCACGCTAAAGCTTCGAACGAGCGCACATTTGTATGCAGTTTGGTATATGCTTAATCGCGCGAATAACTAACGGTGACGCTACTGTATGAATACATTACGCATTTAAAGTCACGATATCGTCTACTTGTACATATAGTTTTTACACATCTTTATAATCTTACGCACCCGCGCGCGCCGCACTTATTGTTTTATACACACATACCACATACATGTAAAGAGACATGATTAATCAAATGAGCTATTCTGTCCGCACTATTTTTAATTTAAAGCGCTACCTGTCTTTATTCACTCACCGCGATCGGCTTCGATTTTCATCGAGTTACATTACTTACACGACTAATTTCGCTTATTTTTCAATACTAATTTTTATTATCTCCAATTCTCTTCATCTACATAATACGCTACGCGCTATTATTGCACTTGTTCCTGCACGAGATCATAGTAAACACTCACAACTAACTGCATTGGCAACTGATTTTTTATGTACATACATATATAATACATTGTATTATAATTATAATTTTGCTTATATTTATATATCGTATTTATATCACTCAGATAATTTAATTCACCGTAGGTGAAAAAGATCGCTTGGGAAGACACGCTTGAAAGATGAGGATAATATAAATCGATGTCAACGACGGCAATTTTGTTATTTCATTTCACACGAGAGTCGAATCCGGACTTTTAAATATGCCACACCAATTTGGACTGCCAACGATGGCACACGGTATGCAATCCCCGCCCTCGCCGACCTCAGTCATGTCCGTTTATCCTCGATTCGGCTCCGGCATCTACAGGGCCGATCACCAGGACCAGCGACTTACCCGGGAGGCGATGGAACGTTATCTACGCGACCGCAGCGACATGGTGATTGTAATCCTACATGCCAAGGTTGCGCAAAAATCATATGGCAATGAGAAACGTTTCTTCTGCCCGCCACCCTGTATCTATCTGTTCGGTGATGGTTGGAGGATGCGTCAGGAACAAATGTTGCGCGAAGGCGAGAGTGAGCAGAGCGCTCAGCTGTGCGCTTTCATCGGCATTGGTAATTCGGATCAGGACATGCAACAACTGGATTTGAACAACGGCAAACAGTATTGCGCGGCAAAGACTCTTTACATCTCTGATTCGGACAAGCGCAAGCACTTTATGCTCTCTGTCAAAATGTTTTATGGTAGTGGCCACGACATCGGCGTGTTTCACAGCAAGCGTATCAAAGTCATCTCGAAGCCATCGAAGAAGAAACAGTCTTTGAAGAACGCAGACTTGTGCATCGCCAGTGGCACGAAAGTGGCGCTCTTCAATCGACTGCGATCGCAGACTGTTAGTACGCGCTACCTTCACGTGGAGAATGGCAATTTTCACGCGAGTTCGACGCAATGGGGTGCGTTCACCATTCATCTCTTGGACGATAACGAGAGCGAATCGGAGGAGTTTCAAGTACGCGACGGTTATGTCCACTATGGCAGCACCGTGAAACTGGTATGCTCCGTCACAGGAATGGCTCTGCCGCGACTGGTGATTCGGAAAGTAGACAAACAAATGGCCAGTCTGGAGGCGGATGATCCTGTATCGCAATTGCACAAATGTGCCTTTTATATGAAGGACACGGATCATATGTATCTGTGCCTCTCGCAGGAGCGTATAATACAATTTCAGGCTACGCCTTGCCCAAAGGAAGCGAACAAGGAGATGATCAACGATGGCGCCTGCTGGACCATCATCAGCACCGACAAGGCAGAATACCAATTCTTCGAGGGTATGGGTCCGGTACGATCACCGGTGACACCGGTACCACTGGTCCACAGTCTGCATCTCAACGGTGGCGGCGATGTCGCGATGCTCGAGCTAACGGGCGACAATTTCACGCCAAACCTGCAAGTCTGGTTTGGCGACGTCGAGGCCGAGACTATGTACAGATGCCAAGAGAGCATGCTTTGCGTCGTACCGGACATCTCGCTGTTTCGTGGCGAGTGGCTCTGGGTACGTCAGCCGACGCAAGTGCCGGTCTCTCTTGTACGCAACGATGGCATCATTTACGCGACTGGTCTAACTTTTACCTATACGCCTGAGCCAGGACCGCGTCCGCACTGTCCGCCCGCCGACGAGATTATGCGGGCGCCACGTGCCATGCACAATCAAGCCAGTATACCACCTGCCGCGATGCCCGCCGACGTGCCCTGGAACACTCATGGACAACCACCGCAATCGGGTCTCTGATGTCTCCTAGACAATCGTCTTAACGCGAACCAAAGTTTACGATATATTAATGATACGGACGATGTAACACGACCTACTGCCGTGTCTCACGACGACGACGACGACGACGGCGACGACGACGACGACGGCGACGACGGCGACGACGACGACGACGACGACGACGACGACGACGACGACGACGACGACGACGACGACGAGAGTGAGAGCGATGATGATCGCTATCTGACGAAAGATTTATTTCTCGAAATCAATGGTGATGCGGCGCGATGCGGTGCAAACTTGGACAATACGAAAACGTAGCGTATCGCTCAGTGCATCCTATGTGATGCGATGTGGTGCATCGAATTTTGCGCGTGCTAAACGATCGTGGAACTAGACTTGCAACTTGTTGAGATACAGATTTACAGAGATAATAATTTATCATAGCAATCCTATTGGTTTAACGGCTTACGCTATAGTGTGTATAGACTAAGTCGCGAGTATACGATGACGGATGATGAAATTTTTGGGAAAAGCAAACGAAATTGTAATATTTTATTTATATGATAAAAAAGTTTTAATTGTTTCTATGATGTCTCCAAGGGAAACATTTCCCTTGTAATTTCCTCCTCGTCTCATCTAATGCTTTAAGAAAGATACAAAATGATTAGTAATGTTAATAACGATTAATAACGAGTAATAAGGGTAACACAGTCTTGGTCTATACATCCGCATATCGGTCACCGAACGATGGTTGTGCTTTTAACATTGTATTTGTTACGAAAGAAGCTGCTGCTGCTGCGCTTGGAATTCGGTATAACGGATCTCGAACTTACTGTTTGCTACATTGTTGATTACCGATCATATCGTAAATTCTAATTTTTTTTAATATACATCAATTTTATCTTATCGACAGAATATCATTTCAAAAAAAGAAAAAGAAAGAAAAACAGATTTATAAAATCTCGTTGAGAACTCGTACCGAAATCTGAGCGTTGCTTCGCGTGAATGGTTTATCCTGTACAAAGTTAGATAGGGGTACGTAATATATTTTTAAACCCGCGCACGACGGCCTCGACATTTGGTACATTTGTAAATTCATACGCGTGCGATGATAGTTTCTTCATTATTTATTAGGAGATGCATGATAAATGCATAGACTTTCATTGAATGAAAACGTGCATGAATCGATGTTGATTGTGAAAACGATCAGAAATTGATAGTAGATGGTGTGTGTGTGTGTGTGTGTGTGTGTGTGTGTGTGTGTGTTTGTGTGTGTGTGTGCGCGTGCGTGCGTGCGCGCGCGCGCGCGCGTGTGTATTGTATGTATATAGTATCTCAATGTACGTACAGCACTTATTGTGATTACAATTATGTGAATCCCGGTGTAACAATTGCGTTAGATGTTTTAGAGATGCTCGCGTAAAATTAATTTTTGATTATCCAACTTTCGTAAATAAAATAAAATGTAAACAAAACAAAATTCCTCTAGCATTAGATACTTATATGGCATATTTTTGCCATAGTTTTCATATTTTTCTTTATAAAAAAATGTGAATATCGGAAATCGCGATGTTCGAACGAGTGGACGGATCTTTAAATTATGTTGTGTCCGAATGATACGTTCGGGGTGCTATCAGAACTATTGCATTATACTCATACTTGTTTTACGTCTAATGAACGATAAAGCTAGAATGATAATAGTGATGACAACCTGTTCCTCAACGTTTATATCTGAAGATTTTTACTCATAATATTTGAGGTTTTTTTTTAAATAGATCGAGCATCTTCTGTATCAATTTGGAGCGTTTTTTAAGGATTTTTCGTGAAAAAAATATTTTAAAGATTATATTTATGTGTGCTTTATTGTAGTTATATCGATAAGTACAATGAAGACGCATATAAAGTTTTATGCTCCTACACATTTAGAATAAACAGAAAGTTTATATTACATGATATTTATTAAATTCCTGATTTAATCCTCGATTCCAAAACTAATGTTGGGACTTCTTTGCGAATACAGATGCGTATACATACGTATCGATAGTCGCGTGAATCTTTTTTCTCATTCCTTTGAATTTGAAATTAATTCAATTGTGTTTAAAATTTAATATGAAAGTGAAGAAATTTAATATTTTTCATTTAACAAATATTAAAAAATTTTAGTAAATATAGTAAATAGATATGCAAGTGATTAAAAAAAATTCCTTCCCAAGCAAATGCGACGCTTTCAATCATTAATGTGTGCAATGTGTATGTATACAATGTGTATGTATATACACTCGAATCCTTCACCTTCTTTTTTTTCACAGAAGATAATCGAAATACCGTCATCTTCGAGAGGAAGTAAGATAGTATCGCCTTGGGAATGTCTTCCCGAAAAGATCTGTGTTGGAAAGGGGAAACACTGGTATATATACATTCCATGGGAATTTACCCACGATTAACGCTTGTACTTTGCGTTAGTGGAAAGTATGGTCGTCTTTATTCACAATTATAAAAACGAATTAATAGTAATTATACTCTTGCGCGAGGCGTTCATTTCGAAATTATATTCTGTAGACTGTAGAGCAAGACAAATTTGGAGAAACTTTTTGTTCTACGGATATATCGCGTTATTTTCCACCGTATCTTTGCGACAATTCGTGGTTTCTCAAAATTTGACTTATGCCACATGTACTTAAAATAATAAATTCACTGGACGGATAATATATTTCAAGCATTCGCCATTGGAATAATCGGCAATAGATTCGCAAAATTATTGCGAATGCATTTATTTTTCCTTAATATATTAAGCATAACCGCTATTATGCCCGTGTCACGCATGTACGTAGAGTGCGTGGATAATTGCTTGGAGATAATAAAATACGAATTTCAGTTACAGAATCTATCAATGATATTTACGTTACAATAAAGGGAATAATTATATTTTATACAAAGCGATGAAAAATTCCTAATCATAAGTAAATCATGTACAAATCTATCAACTACAACTTGTGTACATATATAAATTGTTATTTCTCTTGTATAGATTATTATGAATTATAAATTAACAGGTAGATATGGAAATAATATCAATACTATCTAAATCTATATCTATATTTTATTTTATATATATATATATA